GGTGGTTGTAGTACTTTGTTGGTTTTTAGTACTGAGTGGTTGTGGTACTGGTAGTAGTGGTACTGGTAATTTAATTACTGGTTCTGTGTAGTATTGGGTGGAGTATGGTACTGAGGAAGACTCAGATTACGGTTTGTTGATTAGCACACCCTCGATACTGCCACCACCTGTGCTCTTTATCGGGCTTCAATCATGCAAAAGCCATTATATCTTATGAAAGTGTTCGAAACCGTTGGGTTTTGTGAGTGAGGGAGAGAGGTGTGGAGAGGCAGGGGAGAGGTGTGGGAGAGTGAGGGAGGTGTGGGGAGAGTGAGGGAGAGGTGTGGAGAGGTGTGGAAGAGTGAAAGAAGCAGTGTGTGAGATGGAGGGATTCTTTCATTGGAAAGAGACATGGGTTTGTCCAGATGCAGTTCAGGTTAGATTAGGTTAGGTTAGATTGCGTTACGTTTGAGATTGTTCGTTTTTTGGGAGCTTCTTTGCCGCCTGAATTTGGTTTGGTTAATATTTTCATAAAATTTAACCAAAAATAAATATAAAATCCACAAAAAAAACAGCAGAAATATACAAAAACAAACAAACTAAATTCATCCAAAAGTCGCTGGTACAGTCAAAACTAAACAATGACTGAACACTCAAAAAGATCAACCTTATCAGATAGCAGATGTACGACTCCCTTTCTGGACCTAATGTACGAACAAACAGAGTGTCAGTTCTGTTTAGTCAGTAGTCAAAACAATATAACAGCCCTGAACAATATTCGTCCCATTGAATAGTAAAAATATAAACAATGCGAAAGCAATTAAAAACACTATACACGCAATGTAGATTCTTCACATCATCCTTGCCTGCCGACGAATTGTATTCCTGGCAGCTGCTTGGTGGTGCCTCATTCACCTGGTCTTGTCGTCACTCACCATTAAGAAGAAAAGGTCGGGTTTCCTTTCACTGCAGTGTTATTGATGATATTGATATTGATGTGTGTGTGTGTGTGTGTGTGTGTGTGTGTGTGTGTATGAGGGAGCCCACATGGGACCCCCTCACTAGGAAGAGTAGAGAGTGGGTGAAGTGCTCTCTTCACTTTCTGTTAATGGACGGAGGCTACTCTCAATGACTCTTTCCCCGTCCTCTATTTACACACACACACACACACACACATATATAAATTGCCTCCTATATATTTTTCTTACGGGGAATATATTCAATGGCACAGATCACTGACCCCACAACAGGGCACTAGGGGGGGGATAAAATTAAAAAAAAATTAAAATAGTAGCTCTATTAATCTACACCACGAGATGCCAGAAAACCAGCTTTTAAAAGTGAGACAGATTTTGGGATCTGGAAACACAGAAGAAAGAGAGCATTCCACAGTTTGGCTTATTAATGAGGAAAAGAAAGGATGTACTATAACCCGGATTTATTCTAGATGTGACCGACATCCACAGAAAACGGTGGGCACCACCCAAGGCAAGACGTGTGTTACGAGCCCGGCTTTACTTACCGACGGTACACAGGATAGATCCACCGAGAGCATTGCCCGTTAAAATTACCTACATAAAAGAGAGTGAAGCAACATTGTGGCGAAGAAAGGACGAAGGTGTCAGGCTGCAGGAGAGAGTTAATAAGACGAAATGCCTTTGATTCCACCTATCTAACAGTTGGACAGAAGAGAGGCCATCCCAGACCATGAGCGGTACTCCCAAGCTGGAACCCAGGCCAATCCTGATATACTGAAGCAACTGCTCAGGGAGTGAAATGCTTTACAGCATCTGTACAGCATTCCAGCTTTAGCAATGTTGAGGATGTGTGGCTTCACTGGCTATAATGAGAGGAAATGGCGAGGGCCTGCTTCTATTTTGAATACACAGACCAGTGGTACCCCAGGTATAAGACAGGTACACAGGAGACAGACAGGTGCACAGACAGATTTTACAGGAGACGAACAATTTTGGGAGACAAACGGGTACACAGGCAGGTACACAGGAGACAGACAGGTACACAGAATGAACCGGGTACTGCAGAGGACAGACGGGTACACAGGAGACAGACAGGTGCACACACACAGACTGAGCAGGTACGGTTCGCGTGGTTGTATACTGTGATCGATACCCGAGACATGATCTCCTCTCTCCTCTCTCTCTCTCTCTCTCTCTCTCTCTCTCTCCTCTCTCTCTTTCTCTCTCTCTCTCTCTCTCTCTCTCTCTCCAAAGTGCTTTCTGGTGTACATCTTCAGGAGTGAGTACAGACTAAGGGGTATTGACTAGGCTGATGCCATTTCTTTCACTTCAGCCTTCTTCTTGTGACTTCACCCCAAGGCATATATAGAGATTCAGGAGGGATGCCACTTCAAGGGCATACATGTGATTCAGGGGCACCACATGTGATTCAGAACGCATGTGGATTCAGAGACATACATGTGTGATTCAGGGATCACCACGTAAACGATTCAGGGAGCATATATAGTATTCAAGAACATATATAAACGCCAGGGAGCATATAACGCCCTGTGCAATGTTTGAGGGCTTTTATGACACCTTATATAAACATCAGGAATTTTATAGCGCATAAGGGGAGCATATAAGCGCCACTCAGTGAGATTCGAAATTAAGAAGTGTGTGGCCCCAGTCTATCATAAATCTGGCTTGCATTTCGCCAGAATAGTCGCTGGAGAGTGAGGGAGAGGAGGAGAGGAAGGAGGTGGTGTGAAGGGTGAGGAGGTGAGAGAGAGGAGGAGAGGAAGGAGGTGGTGAGGTGAGAGGTGAGGAGAGGAGGAGAAGGAGAGGTGTGGTGAGGAGTGAGGGAGGTGAGGGAGAGGGAGGAGAAAGAGGTGAGTGAGGAGGGTGGAAGGGGAGGGACAGGTGGGGAGAGGTGGTGAGGGTGGAAAAGAATGTCTGGGGAGAGGGAGCAGAGGTGAGGAGGGGGGAGTGGGGAGAGATCATTGAGAGGGAGGAAGAAAAAAGGGAAAAGAAAGGGCGAGAAGTCTACTCTCCCACAGTTAATCAAGACATAAGCATGCAAATGTACTGAGGTGATAATGTTAACAGAACGTCTCCTCTCCTCCCCTCTCTTGCTCTCTCTCTTATTACTCAAAAACTCACCTTTAGCTGATGGGTATATTACATGTAATTTTCACAGAATTAATGGGGTGTGTGTGTGTGTGTGTGTGTGTGTGTGTGTGTGTGTGTGTGTTGTGTGTGTGTGTCAGTCATTCCAACACCACTTGGCACCTTGGACACCTGCCGATCACTTATCACCGACCACACAGATAAATACCAATCTTAATCACCCAATCCTCAACCACTTATGATGTCACCACACCGCCCAGCCAATGTGAATGCCCCTCTGAGCAGCTTCATATGCTTTCGTACCAAGACAATCAGGGTGCTCCTCCTGTAGCGTCACTACTTCAGCATTTCTGTCCAACAGTCACTCGTTTTAAAAGGAAATCTCTCTGGGCTAAATAATATGACATCATATTATTCTCAGAAAGCCAATCAGTATCTCTAGACCCAAAATGCTATAATGTCAAAACACAACTAGCCAATCACCCAAATATTTCTTAGTACTTATTCCACGTTATAATACCATCTTACCGGTCGGCGTCTTCAGTGATTAAAACGTCATAACCATCTCTACCGGCTCTAACTGTCTCATTCCAACGTGACATCAAAATAACCTCAACAAATCACCATATCAGCGCTAGATAAATTGCGTGACGTCATGACACCATCAGCCAATCTATGCTCCAATACTAGATCTTGATGTGACGACAAGAGGAACCTATCTATTTCTAGCCAATCAACAAGTCCCACTGCGTCAGATAATATTGTGACATTCTTTGACACATCACAAATGCAATCACAGCAGGTTAAAGTAGGGGTGACGATCATAGCACCAACCTATACGAGCTTACTGTCACAGTTGTAAACAATAATCACCAGCCGGAGAATCACACTAATATATATTACACTCCATGCAGAAACACCAATACATTCCAAAACGATTCCCCTAATTGTCGTTTTTTCCCCATGGAGTAAGATCGAGAGAGACACACACAGTCAACGCATACACATATACATTCTTAAGCTCCATCTAGTTACTCTTTCCTCCTCAGAGATAAGCCTTATGTATCTAATTTCTATTATGTGTGTACAACAGTGCTAACTTATTTTTCCCTTTTATACAGAAATACGTCTCATTTCTCCATAAGTAAACACCATATAATCTGTGTAGTCTCGTTCGCTTCGTAAAATCTGTCCAACAGTTCCAATAATGTACAGGGGGTGAGAGTTGTGTTGGGGATTATATGGAAGATATTGGTCTTTAAAGTGTTATTGACAATAGTATTGATGATGATGATGGTGATGTATGTGTGTGTGTGTGTGTGTGTGTGTGTGTGTGTGTGTGTGTGTGTGGTACAAGCCCCCACTGAATTCCACACTTTATAATCTCTCTGTGTCAGCTACCACAATTTTAGTTTCTTTGCCGTCTAGTGAGATATCCAGCAACTAAAAGGTTATTTCCAGACAAGAATCTCTTAATTGTTCTTTCGTCTGAAAAAGGACCAAAGTTGAAACATTCCTCTGGAACAACACCCACTGGAGTGTGAGTCTCCTGGAAAGAACATTAAGAGTCTCCTGGGAAGGAAACATTAGAGACTCTCCTGGAAAGAACATTAAAAAGTCTTCCTGCGGAAAACGTAGGGAGTCTCCTGGAACAACATTAGAGTCTCCTGGAACAAATTAAGAGTCTCCTGGAACAACATTGGAGTCTACAGAATAACACTGAGGTCTCCTGGAATTTAACATTAAGAGTGTCCTGGAACATACTATGAGAGTTGGGGTCTTTGAAACCTTTTAGACACTGGAAAGTATATGAGAGAACCCTTTGTGCTGGAAGAATCTGGAAGCTCTCTTCTGAGCGACAGAATTTTCAGAATAATTTAACAACTGGAACAACAGTTTAGAACACAAAGTGGCGGAAGCTTTGCCACAGTCAACCTAGTTGAAGACACAGTCGAGGCGATAACACCGAGGCTCCCTTCTTCGCCTGTCCAAGGCAAAACTATTGAGGAGAAGTTGAAGCTGAGTTACCATCATCCACATTACTTCCTGCATTAGGGAAATTGACATTTCTCCCCGTGCTGTAGAAGACCCTGAGAGAGCTCCAGGGGCTTCTGTTCGAAGGCATGTGAATATAAAACCGTTACGAGAATGATTTGGCTCTCGGAGGCAAGTGAGGCGCCTTAATGGCTGCCAGAGGTTTGAGGCATATTTAGCCTGGAAGTCTTAGATCAGCCACAGTATCTGGCAGGAAGGAGGAACTTACCTGCTGAAAACAAGCAATGGGTGTGCGCCTGCCATCGCCATGTTTACCTTTATTTAATCATTTAACGACAGACCACTGGCCGTGCCTATTCTTGGGTACTTGCTCCTCTTGTTGGTGCCACTTGTGAGTCCTCCTCCTGTGTACCTCATCTCCTGTTAGTACCTCCTCCTGTTAGTACCTCTCCTGTTAGTACCTCCACCATTTGATACCTCCTCTTGTTAATTACCCATCACTCCGTTGATACCTCCCTCTTGTTGGTACACCCTCCTGTTGATACCTCCTCTTGTTGATACCTCTTGTTGGCACCTCCTCCTGTTGTACCTCCTCTGTTAGCACCTCCTCACGTCCTAAACTCCATCCTGTTGGTACCTCCACACCTCCTCCTGTTGGTACCTCCTCCTGTTAGTACCTCCCTCCTGTTGATACCTCCCTCTCATTAGTACCACCTCCTGTTGGTACCTCCTCTTGTTAATTTATCCTCTGTTGCATTTTTACCTCCTCCCCTGTTAGGCACCTCTCCTGTTGGTGCCTCCTCCTGTTGGTACCTCCTCCTGTTGGTACCTCCTCCTGTTGAACCTCCTCTTGTTGATACCTCCTCTTTGTTGGTACCTCTTGTTGCACCTCCTCCTCTTAGTACCTCCTCCAGTGGTACCCTACTGTGGCACCTCCTCACCATTTGGTACCTCCTCCTGTTGTTACCTCTTCCTGTTGTGGTACCTCCTCCTGTTGGTACCTCCACCTGTGGAACCCTCTTGTTGCCCTCCTCCTCTTGGTGCCTCCTACTGTTGTTACCTCCTCTGTTGGTACCTCCTCCTGTTGGTACCCCTCCTGTTGGTACCTCCCTCCTGTTGGTACACCTCCTCCTGTTGGTACCTCCTCCTGTTGGTACCTCCTCTGGACCTCCTCCTGGTACCTCCTCCTGTTGGTACCTCTCTCTATTTGGTCTCCTCTGGTACCTCCTCCTGTTGCTATCCTTGTTGGTACCTCCTCCTGTGGTACCCTCCTCCTGTTGACTACCCTCCTACTAACCTCCTCTCGTAATACCTCCTCTTGTTGGTACCTCCTCCTGTTGGTACCCTCTGTTGGTACCTCCTCCTGTTGGTAACCTCCTCCTGTTGGCCTCCTCTTGTTGGTACCTCCTCCTGTTGTACCTCCTCTGTTGGTACCTCCTCCTGTTGGTAACACTCCTCCTGTTGGTACCTCCACCTTGTTGAATCTCCTCCTGTTTACAGAGAGAGAGAGAGATTCATTAACCTACCTGATTGTACTGAACTCTGATTGGCCAGACTTAGTCAACAATAAAAACATTCTGCGTTATGACTGGCTATAACTACTGTATTCCTCCACACCCAATTCAACTTAATCAATAATAAACAAGTGAATTGTGATTGGCGATAATACAACAGGCTGAATTGGCAGATTGCCGATAATAAAACAGGCTGAATTGTGAATTGGCGATAATAAAACAGGCTGAATTGTGATTGGCCGATAATAAAACAGGCTGAATTATGATTGACCGATAATAAAACAGGCTAATTATGATTGGCTAAAAGCATAAACCACCTAGTACCGTATCACACAGCACATAGGTCATACCTAGCACAAGCATGGGGTGGGTGTCCATTAGGCGATGGTAACAAGGAGCAGGGCGTTGATTGGCTGCCATAGGGACGTAACACGCCTTCTACGGCCCCCTGGCGACCTCTGGGGTGTGAGGAGAGGAGAGCAGGGGGGTGCCTGAAAGGACTTCATGTAAAAGCTGTCTTAGTGAAAAAGCTGATCCTGTTTTTATGTTTTTAATTCCTTATTTAAAAGACTAAGATCGACCTGTGTGTGTGTGTCCCAGCTAATCCTGGGCTAGCTATAGAAGTAGGGGCCCTTAAGCCTGGGAGCCCAATAGACCAGCATATATGTCATCGCTTCTGTAGTAAAAACATGTGATGTTATAAACCATGGGGTTTTATATCACACTCTACAATGTTTCAGTCCAAGGTATAATTAGCTCCTGTACCTGTAGCTGAACCTGTAACCTGTATGATACTAGTCCTGTACCTGTAGCTGAACCTGTAACCTGTATGATACTAGTCCTGTACATGCAGCTGAACCTGTAACCTGTATGATACTAGCCCTGTACTTACGCTGAACCTGTAACCTGTATGATACTAGTCCTTGGCCTGAACCTGTACCTGTGATACTGCACCTTGTACTGCAGCTGAACCTGTAACCTGTATGATACTAGCCCCTACACCTGCTGAACCTGTAACCTGCTGATACTAGCTTTGCCTGTAGCTGAACCTGTAACTGCGCCACAGTACACCTGTACACTGCCTGTGAACCTGCAACCTGTATGATACTAGCCCCACAACACCCTGGCTGAACCTGCAAACACCTTGATACTAGTCCCTGTACCTGTGCGCTGAACCTGTAACCTGTATGATACTAGTCCTTGTACCTGTAGCTGAACCTGTACCTGTATAACCTACCCAGCAACCTACCTGTATGATACTAGCCCCTGTACCTGTAGCTGAACCTGTAACCTGCATGATACTAGTCCCTGTACCTGTAGCTGAACCTGTAACCTGTATGATACTAGCCCCTGCCTGTAGCTGAACCTGTAACACGTATGATACTAGCCCCTGTACCTGTAGCTGAACCTGTAACCTGTATGATACTAGCCCCTGTACCTGTAGCTGAACCTGCCAACCTGTATGATACTAGCCCCTGTACCTGTAGCTGAACCTGCTAACCTGTATGATACTAGTCCTTGTACCTGTAGCTGAACCTGCCTACACCTGTATGATACTAGCCCCTGTACCTGTAGCTGAACCTGTAACCTGTATGATACTAGTCCCTGTACCTGTAGCTGAACCTGTAACCTGTATGATACTAAGCCCTGTACCTGTAGCTGAACCTGTAACCTGTATGATACTAGCCCCTGTACTGTAGCTGAACCTGTAACCTGTATGATACCCTAGCCCCTGTACCTGTAGCTGAACCTGTAATCTATGATGCTGGCCCCTGTGCCTGTAGCTGAACCTGTAACCTGTATGATACTAGTCCCTGTACTTAGCTGAACCTGTAACCTGTATAATACTAGCCCCTGTACCTGTAGCTGAACCTGTAACCTGTATGATACTAGTCCCTGTACCTGTGGCTGAACCTGTAACCTGTATGATACCCTGCCCTGTAGCTGAACACGTAACCTGTATGATACTAGCCCCTGTACCTGCTGAACCTGTAACCTGTATGATACTAGCCCCTGTACCTGTAGCTGAACCCTGTAACCTGTATGATACTAGCCCCTGTACCTGTAGCTGAACCTGTAACCTGTATGATACTAGTCCCTGTACCTGTAGCTGAACCTGTAACCTGTATGATACTAGCCCCTGTACCTGTAGCTGAACCTGTAACCTGTATGATACTAGCCCCTGTACCTGTAGCTGAACCTGTAACCTGTATGATACTAGCCCCTGTACCTGTAGCTGAACCTGTAACCTGTATGATACTAGCCCCTGTACCTGTAGCTGAACCTGTAACCTGTGCCATAACTCCATGTAATTATAGTTGAACCTGTAACCAGTTGTATATATAAATTACACCACTGTACCTGTATTTGTAACATAACGTCTACCTGTAATTAAACTGTATTTGTATCATAATTCCGTACCTTTATAAGTTAAATTCTAATCACTCGTTCAGCTACAGAAGTACAGATACAGTTAAGGTTAGATTACGGGGAGGGAGGAGGGAGGAGGAGGAGGCCTCTTCAGAGTAATTACAGGGAGTTTTTTCATGTGGTTGACCAAGCCACATCAAAAATCAATCTGATCTTCTGGTGAACTTATTTAATGTCCTTTAGATAGGAGGGTGAAGGAGGGTAAGGAGAGGGAAGAGGAGGAGGTGAGGGAAGAGGAAGGAGTGAGGAGAGGAAGAGAACGTGAATTGGTAAAAATAAAGCTCAGGCATATTAATTTCTGTGTTTCCTCAGCGTTTAGTAGTGTTGTGGTGAAGTGTTGGTCGTAAATCACTGCCCAACACGGTATAAAAATAAATAAATAAATAAAATAATTACCAAAAATATTCCAGTAAAATTTAATAAAAGGAAAAAAATGGCAAACAAAAAAAAATCGTAAAAATTATTTACAGAATTATGCCAAAAAATCGTTACAAATATCGTCATTCATTAAGGAGAGGTGTTGGTGAAAGGTAATTTGTGATATATTAAGGAAAATAATATAAATGGATATGAAATTCTGCAAAATCATTTACAGTATATACACGAAAAATTCCCCCTAAAAAAGATGTCTGTCTGTCTGTCTGTCAGTCTACCTGTCTGTCTTTCGGTCTACCTGTCTGTCTGTCGGTATACCTATCTGTCTGTTTGTCTAACTGTCTGTTTGTCTGTCATAACTAAACAAAACCCAGTTAGTGAGTCGAGGAGTGACACCAGGGAAGGTGACACCAGGAGGGTGACAATAGGCAGGTGACACCAGGGAGGTGACACCAGGAGGTGACACCAGGGGAGGGGTGACACCAGGGGAGGGTGACACCAGGGGAGGGTGACACCAGGGAGGTGACACCAGGGGAGGGTGACACCAGGAGAGTGACACCAGGCGAGGTGACACAGGGGAGGTGACACCAGGAGGTGACACAGGGAGGTGACACCAGGAGGTGACACCAGGCGGGGTGACACCAGGCGAGGGTGACAGGAGACACCAGGCGGGGTGACACCAGGAGGTGACACCAGGCAGGGTGACACCAGGGAGGTGACACCAGGCAGGGATGACACCAGGCGAGAGTGACACCAGGCAGGGTGACACCAGGAGGTGACACCAGGGAGGGTGACACCAGGGAGGGTGACACCAGGGGAGGGTGACACCGGGGGAGAGGTGACACCCAGGGAGGGTGACAACAGGGGAGGTGACACCAGGCAGAAAGGACACCAGGCAGGGTGACACCAGAGGTGACACCAGGAGGACCAGGAGGTGACCCAGGGAGGGTGACACCAGGAGGGTGACACCAGGAGGTGACACCAGGGAGGTGACACCAGGAGGGTGACACCAGGGAGGTGACACCAAGGGGAGGTGACACCAGGCAGGGTGACACCAGGAGGGTGACACCAGGGAGGTGACACCAGGCAGGGTGACACCAGGGAGGTGACACCAGGCGAGGTGACACCAGGAGGGTGACACCAGGGGAGGTGACCAGGAGGGTGAGGTGACACCAGGAGGAGACACCAGGCAGGGTGACACCAGGCGGGGTGACACCAGGAGACACCAGGCAGGGTGACACCAGGGGAGGTGACACCAGGCAGGGAGTGACACCAGGGAGGGTGACACCAGGCAGGGTGACCCAGGCAGGTGACACCAGGCAGGGGGTGACACCAGGGAGGGTGACACCAGGGAGGTGACACCAGGAGGTGACACCAGGAAGAGGTGACACCAGGAGGGTGACACCAGGCAGGTGACACCAGGAGGGTGACACCAAGGGAAGGTGACACCAGGGAGGTGACACCAGGGAGGTGACCAGGGGAGGGTGACACCAGGAGGTGACGCCAGGCAGGGTGACACCAGGCAGAGGACACCAGGCGAGGGGTGACACCAGGAGGGTGACACCAGGAGGTGACACCAGGGGAGGGTGACACCAGGAGGTGACACCAGGGGAGGTGACAACAGGAGGTGACACCAGGCGAGGTGACACCAGGCAGATGGACACCAGGCAGGGGTGACACCAGGGAGGGTGACACCGGGGAGTGACACCAGGGGGGTGACACCAGGCGAGGGTGACACCAGGGAGGTGACACCAGGCGAGGTGACACCAGGCGGGAGGTGACACCAGGCGAGGTGACACCAGGAGGGGTGACACCAGGGGAGGTGACACCAGGCGAGGGTGACACCAGGCGAGGGGTGACACCAGGCGGGAGGTGACACCAGGGTAGGGTGACACCAGGGAGGTGAGCACCAGGCGAGGTGACACCAGGCCGAGGTGACACCAGGCAGGTGACACCAGGAGGTGACACCAGGCGAGGGTGACACCAGGCAGGTGACACCAGGCGGGGGTGACACCAGGAGGTGACACCAGGAGGTGACACCAGGAGGTGACACCAGGGGAAGGTGACACCAGGAGGTGACACCAGGCGGGGGTGGCACCAGGGAGGTGACACCAGGGAGGTGACACCAGGAGGGTGACACCAGGGGGCACCAGGAGGTGACACCAGGCAGGGGTGACACCAGGCGAGGGTGACACCAGGGAGGGTGACACCAGGAGGTGACACCAGGCGAGGTGACACCAGGCGGGGTGACACCAGGCAGGGGGTGACACCAGGGAGGTGACACCAGGCGAGGTGACACCAGGCGAGGGTGACACCAGGCGGGGTGACACCAGGAGGTGACACCAGGAGGTGACACCAGGAGGTGACACCAGGCAGGGTGACACCAGGGGAGGTGACACCAGGGGAGGTGACACCAGGAGGGTAACACCAGGGGAGGTGACACCAGGAGGGTGACACCAGGCGAGGTGACACCAGGGAGGGTGACAGGGAGGTGACACCAGGGAGGTGACACCAGGAGGTGACACCAGGGAGGTGACCAGGGGAGGGTGACACCAGGGAGGTGACACCAGGAGGTGACACCAGGCAGGGTGACACCAGGAGGTGACACCAGGGAGGTGACACCAGGAGGTGACACCAGGCGGGGTGACACCAGGGGAGGTGACACCAGGGGAGGTGAACACCAGGCGAGGTGACACCAGAGAGGTGACACCAGGGGGGGTGACACCAGGAGGTAACACCAGGGGAGGTGACACCAGGCGAGGGTGACACCAGGGAGGGTGACACCAGGGAGGTGACACCAGGCGAGGTGACACCAGGAGGTGACACCCGGTGAAAGTGACACCAGGCGAGGTGACACCTATTCCCATTCAGGATTTAGGAATCGTGACTGGAATCGTGGGAATTTGCTCCCATTGTTGGATTGGTGGCGACAGGCCATTCTATTACTGGCCCTTATGCTTACCATTATCTCCCCTCCACCTCCTCTCCTCCTACCTCGTTCCCACCTCCCCTACCTGCCTCATACCTCCCTCTACCTCCCTCTACCTCCCTCCTCCCTCCTACCTCCCTCATACCTCCCCCTACCTGCCTCCTTCCTCCCCTCCCTCTACCTCCCTCTACCTCCCCTCCATACCTCCCCTACCTGCCTCATACCTCCCCCTACCTCCCTCTACCTCCCTCTACCTCCCTCATACCCTCCCCCTACCTCCCCCACCTCCCTCTACCCCTCCTCACTACCTCCCCCTACCTCCCTCCCTACCTCCCCCACCTCCCTCCTTTCCCTCCCTACCTCCCCCTACCTCCCTCCCCTCTCTCCCTCCCCTACCCTCCCTCCCCCCTCCCCCTACCTCCCCTCCTACCTCCCCCTCCCCTCCTACCTCCTCTCCCCTCCCCTACCTCCCCTCATGCCTCATACCTCCCCCTACTTCCCCTCCCTTACCTCCCCCTACCTCCCCTACCTCCCCTACCTCCCTCCTACCCCTCCCTCCCTTACCTCCCTCTACCTCCCTCTACCTCCCTCCCCTTCCTCCCTCTACCTCCCTCTACCTCCCCTCTTATCCCTCTACCTCCCCCTACCCCTCCCTCCCCACCTCCCCTCCTTACCTCCCTCCTTACCTCCCCCTACCTCCCCTCCTTACCTCCTCTACCTCCCTCTACCTCCCTCTGCTCCCTCTACCTCCCCCTACCCCCCCTCCCCTCCCTCTACCTCCCCTCTACCTCCCTCACTGCCTCCCCCTACCCCTCCCTCTACCTCCCCCTACCTCCCCTCTACCTCCCCTACCTCCCTCCTACCTCCCTCTACCTCCCCTACCTCCCTCCCTTACCTCCCTCCCATACCTCCCCTACCTCCCCTCCCTACCTCCCCTACCTCCCCTCCCCCTACCTCCCCTCTCCCCTCCCCCCCCTCCCTCCCTTACCTCCCCCTACCCCTCCCCTCCCCCCCACCTCCCTCTACCTCCCTCCACCTCCCCTCCATACCTCCCCCTACCTCCCCCCCCCTCCCTCTACCTCCCCTCCCTACCTCCTTCTTACCTCCCTCTACCTCCCTCACTACCTCCCTACCTCCCTCCATACCTCCCCTACCTCCCCCCTCCCCCTACCTCCCCCCCTCCCTCCTTACCTCCCCCTACCTCCCTCCCTACCTCCTCACCTCCCCTACCTCCCTCCACCTCCCCCCTACCTCCCTCATACCTCCCCTACCTCCCCTACCTCCCCAACCTCCCTCCACCTCCCCCCACCTCCCCCTACCTCCCTCTACCTCCCTCTACCTCCCTCTACCCTCCCCTCCTACCTCCCCTCTACCTCTCCCCTACCTCCCCTCTCATACCTCCCCCTACCTCCCTCTACCTCCCTCTACCTCCCCTACCTCCCCTACCTCCCTCCTTTCCCTCTCCACCTCCCCACTTCCCTCATACCTCCCCTACCTCCCCTACCCCTCCCCTCCTTACCTCCCTCCCCTACCTCCCTCTACCTCCCTCTACATCCCTCCCCCTCCCCTCCCTTACCTCCCCCTACCCCTCCCCTCCCCTACCTCCCTCCTTACATCCCTCCCTCCCCCCTCCCCTCCCTTACCTCCCTCATACCTCTCCCCTTCCCTCCTTACCTCCCCCTACCTCCCCTCCTTACCTCCCCTCTACCTCCCTCTACCTCCCTCTACCTCCCTCTACCTCCTCCACCTCCCCTACCTCCCTCTACCTCCCCTCTACCTCCCCTCCTTACCTCCCCCCTACCTCCCTCCATACCTCCTCATACCTCCCCTACCTCCCCCCCTACCTCCCTCTACCTCCCCTCATACCTCCCTCTACCTACCTCCTTACCTCCATCCCTTCACCTCCCCTCCATACCTCCCCTCACCCCTCCCCTCTACCTCCCTCATACCTCCCCTATCTCCCTCTACCTCCCTCCTTCCTCCCCCTACCCCTTCTCCTCCCTCCCTCATACCTCCCTCTACCTCCCTCATACCTCCCTCTACCTCCCCTCCTACCTCCCTCTACCTCCCTCACCTCCCTCCCCTCCCTCCCCTATCCTCCCTCTACCTCCCCTCATACCTCCCCCTATCTCCCTCTACCTCCTCATACCTCCCTCCCTCCTCCCCTCATACCTCCCTCTACCTCCCCTCCATACCTCCCCCTCTCCCTCTACCTCCCTCTACCTCCCCTCATACCTCCCCCTATCTCCCTCTACCTCCTCTACACCTCCCCCTACCTGCCTCATACCTCCCTCACCTCCCCTACCTCCCTCCCACCTCCCCTCCTACCTCCCCTTCCCTCCCTCTACCTCCCTCATCTCACATTCTTGATAGTAGCAGATAGATAGATAGATAGATAGATAGATAGATAGATAGACAGATAGATAGATAGATCGATACTACCATGGAGAATATTAATCTTGGTATATTCTCAAAACTGATTAAAAGAGAATAGGTAATTTCTCATCAATATTCAATTTAATTTTCCGCCCAAATTATAACTAACCTCTTAACTTTACACTTTATCCACTTACCACTTACCAGCTCGTTAGCCGCTGGGGTAGTCGGTCACTTTTATCCACTTCACCACTTACCAGCTCGTTAGCCGCTGGGGTAGTCGGTCACTTTATCCACTTCACCACTTACCAGCTCGTTAGCCGCTTGGGTAGTCGGTCGAGTCTGTTACGCAATGACGGCACCGAGTGTGAACCAATGCTTGTACCTGCCAACATTGAAGCAAAGGCGCCGTGTGATATAAATTCTGTCCCCAAAAAGAACATATCACGGTAAAATGAAGGAAAAATTTAATCCCAATAATAATATAAAAAAAAGAAAAACAATAGAAAAAGTTGAAAATTTGTTTCTCGTAAATGAAGAAAAAAAATGTTCGCGCCAGAAAAACAAAAACAAAACCTGGGGTGAAGACGGCTCGATATATTGATGGGCGATGACAGCTTCCGCCATGAACCTCCCAACATGGCCGGGTCATACACCATCATCTTCCAGCGACGAATATTCTTCTCGGATGTTCATTTCTGCTTTCTCAATCCAGGAGTAAGATTAGGCCGTGATTTGGGCAGGTTACTACATCACTGACACCTTTTTTTTTTTAATATGGCCTCCAAACTCCCCACTAGCCCACAGTATATATAGGAGCATCACCACTAGCACTGAGTATATGTCAGTAGGAAGTGCCACTGACCTCAGGTGCCAGGATGGTGGAGTATTTGACCCTCACAGCAGAGTGCCAGACGAGACTAAAAGGTCAAGCTCCCGATTCCCCATTAATGAGGTTCCAAGGGGGTGTCTCTCTCTCTCTCTCTCTCTCTCTCTCTCTCTCTCTCTCTGGGTACATCAGCAGGTAACTACCAGGTGTGCATAGGATCATAGGCTGGGGGGGTGAAGGAGAGGAGGTGAGGTGAGGTGAGGCAAGAACCTCATTATATCAACATTTATGAGGCTGCTGATGCCTCACGCTAATGACACCAAGTCTTCCTCTCCTTTCAACATATTGCATCTGGGGTCTTGCTGAGCCATCCCCCCAGTCGACTAAACATCACCATTTCTTAATATTTACCAGCTCGTCCTCTACCTCTCGTCGACTATATTGCGCGCCAACACTGCTAGTGATGGCGCCAGGGCCTTTCATAATAAACTCGTTGGTGATGGCGCCATAATAAAGTCGTTTCACGTATACACGAGATCAAAATTGAAAGTTTCATTGGAATATTTGGCGTGTCTGAACCATTCGGATAAAAGACTAAAAAAAAATCATTACGTGTACCCTGGAGACTGTATCCTTTCATCTTGTGTTTGAATGGCTCCGTCTCTTGGAGTACTAGAGAGAGAGAGATAGAATAGGGAGATATTTACCTCAGTTTCGTGTACAGAGCTACCAGACACTACCAGCCATGACAGAGCTACCAGACACTACCAGCCATGACAGAGCTACCAGACACTACCAGCAATGACAGAGCTCCAGACACTACAGCCATGACAGAGCTACCAGACACTACCAGCCATGACAGAGCTACCAGACACTACCAGCAATGACAGAGCTACCAGACACTACCAGCCATGACAGAGCTCCAGAATCCAGCCACCCACGACAGATTGCAGACACTCACAGCAGAGCTACCCAGACACTAACAGCCATGACAGAGCTACCAGACACTACCAGCCATGACAGAATACCAGACACTACCAGCCGACAGAGCTACCAGACACTACCAGCCATGACAGAGCTACCAGACACTACCAGCCATGACAGACTACCAGACACTACCAGCCATGACAGAGTTGCAGACACTACCAGCCATGACAGACTACCAGACACTACCAGCCATGACAGAGCTACCAGACACTACCAGCCATGACAGGCTACCAGACTACCAGCCAACCCCGACACTACCAGCCATGACAGAGCTACCAGACACTACCAGCAGCAGAACACCAGACACTACAGCCATGACGACTACCAGACACCACCAGCCATGACAGAGCTACCAGACACTACCAAGACAGACACAACCCAGCAACAGAGCACCAGACACTACCAGCCATGACGAACTACCAGACACTACCCCAGACACACACACAGCCCTGACAGAGCTACCAGACACTACCAGCCATGACAGACTACCAGACACTACCAGCCATGACAGAGCTACCAGACACTACCAGCCATGACAGACTACCAGACACTACCAGCCATGACAGACTGCCAGACACTACCAGCCATGACAGAGCTACCAGACACTACCAGCCATGACAGAGCTACCAGACACTACCAGCCATGACAGAGCACCAGACACTACCAGCCATGACAGAGCTCCAGACACTACCAGCAATGACAGAGCTACCAGACACTACCAGCCATGACAGATGACACCCCACACA